GCTCGGGCTGGCGCTGGGGGCGGCGGGCGGCGGCGGCTCCGGGACCGGGTTCCCCGGCACCTACTGCTTGCCCAGCCCCGCGCCCTCCCTGCTCTGCAGCCTGGCGCAGCCCTCTGAGGCGCCCTTCGTCTACTTCAAGCCGGCGGCGGGCTTCTTCGGCGGGGGCGGCAGCGGCCCGGAGCCGGGGACCGCGGGAACCCCGCCGGGGGAAGCCGCAGCGTCCCCCTCGCCGCCTCCCACGCTGCTGGATGAGGTGGAGCCGCTGGACCTGGACAGCGTGGCCTCCTGGAGAGACGAGGACGACTGCACCTGGTACTGCCGTGCTCCGCTACGCTCCCCGGGACCCCGGCCTCCGAGGCGGGGAGCGCGGGGCGGGGCATGGGGAGGTGCGGAAGGGGACCCCCACCGGCCAGTTCCGGGACCCAGGGGCCTGGCAGGTGCCAGCCTGGCCTGGAGCTGAGGCTTCTGAAACCTGTTTTCACATCGCCCCTGTTGGGGACTGGGGAGGTATTGGTCTCTGCCATCTGCCTTGGGTTCTGCTCTTTGCTGATTACGGATTCCCAAGCGCCTCGTTAGCATTAACTGCAAAACCCCTGTCATCTTGTCGCCCAGTCCTGCTCTTTATCCCAGTCGCGCGCGCGCGTGTGCGCGCGTGTGTGTGAGTGATGGATAAGGCGCTGCCTGCAATCTGCCGTAGGTTACTGTTCTTTCCTACCAAAGAACAAAGTACAGTCTCCCTTGGTGGCTTCCGAAGCCGCCTAATGATGGATTTAGACATCCTTTCTTGCCATAGAGTTTTGCAGTCATACATCCTCTTTCTCTATTTTCATAGATTACCTTTTCAGATACTGATTTGGTTTTTTAGGATGTGACATCCTCATAGGCCCTTCCACTAAGAATGGAACATGGTTTGGTAAAGAATGGAGTGAGCAGATGAAGGCTGTATATATGTGTGTGTGTGTGTGTGTGTGTGTGTGTGTATGTAATCTACATATATATAAAAAATTGAATTCAAGGATTTTTATTATTTAAAAATGAAACTAGATTGTAGAAAAGTGCTTTTAGAGAAACTTTATAAAGTTTGCCATCAGGAAGCTCAGGTATATTCAACTAAATCTGGTTAGCCCCTGCTCTGTGAATGAGCACCCTTTTGAGGAGACAGGCATCTAGGTTCCTTGTTATGTGTTTTCTTGCTATCTGGCTCATGGAATAATAGTCCTTAAAAGATTTTGGTTGGCTTTGTATGTTTTCTTGGTGTCACTAGACATACACTAGGATTGGTCAGATGAGGAAGGACTTGGGTTCAAGCAAGGAAACAGCAGCCTTCTGCTCTGTGTAATAGTGGCACTAAGGATAGCTGTAGTTCTCTCTTGTTGGTAGTTTTATTTAGGAATACTGAGTTTTCCTCATTTTGTGTTGCTGTTGCATGATTGCGTAGAAGGGAAATTGTAGATGTAGACTCCTACTGGCTTGGTGTTGAAGTGTAATGTTCCTTTTAATTTACACTCGTGTGGCAACTGACTGTAAACTGCTCTGATTGATTGATTAGGGAATTGAAATACATACAGCAGTAATAAACCTTTCCACTGGTGCCTTTATCATCCGCCTTAGCCCTTTCTTTTGGGGAGCTGTGCAGGCATCTTAAGTTGCACAAGTGAAACAACTCAACACTTCCTGGAACTTTAAGCCATTCTTTATAAACTACATTTAATTTTGGTGAAACCCAACTACAATTCAGCCTGAATATAGCATTGAAAGATGGCCCATGATGGCTTTTAGATTTTCACTAATACCTGTAAATAAATCCTTCTGCCACTTTCAAATTATTTGAGGATTTTTAAAATGATGGTTATGTATATTAACAATGAGAAGACATTTTGTAATTTGAAAGAGATCCAGGGGAGCAATCGCATGCTTTAAATTAGTGCATACTTAACAATTTATTATTATTATTGTTGTTATTATTATTATTATTATTATTATTATTTTGGCTTTCTTGAGATAAGGTCTTACACTCAGCCTGTCCTCAAACTCTGATCCTTCTGTTTCAACTTCTTGAGTGCTGGAGTACAGACATATGTCCCTACACCTGACTCTTAAACTTATTTGATATTACCATTTATCTGGTTAGTAATAGTACATATGCACCTAATAAAATTTTGTATTCTATTCTTTTAGATGGATATATATCATAGTTATTAAAATATTTTTAATTTAGTACATTTTTCCTAGCTTTTTGTTTTGTTTTGTTACTTTTTAAAAACATCCAAGCCGGGGCTGGAGAGATTGCTCAGTGGTTAAGAGCACTGACTGCTTTTTCAGAGGACTGGGGTTTAGTTCCCATTACCCACATGGCAGCTAACAACTGTTGGTAACTCCAGTTCCAGGGACTCTGACACCCTCTTCTGGCTTCCGTGGGCATTGCACGATGTGGGTGCACTTACATGCAGGCAGTGTATTGAGACACAAAATAAAAAAATAATAAAATATTTAAAAAACATTCAAATATTATTGAAATCACTTTAAAAACACCTATTTCATAAGATTAGCATAGTACTTCTTTAGGTGGTTTGAGGCAAATCTAAATTAAAGCAAATTTAATTTTATTCATTGAGTACATAGGTAAATAAGGGAAATTAATCCTTCATGCTTCAAAAGTGCCTCTATGGACATATAGCACAGATTTATAGTGTCCCTTCCTTAAATATAGTAGATGCCAGGTGGGAAAACAGAATCATTAATCTCAGTGGGAGACACAAAGTTTTAGGTCATCTGATTTACAGAAAAATTTTGTCATAACATTGTATACATTATTCTTATATTGAAACATTTTGGCATTTCTTTTTTTTGGGAAAAAGTGACCAACAGATTTTAATTTTAAAAATTTAAGCTGCCTGCTAATGCTTACACAGCACTCCAAAATTTTACCATTGCAGATTCTCCATGTATCCACCCTGCAGTTTCACAGTTGTAGCTTGGATCCCACAATAGGTTTGTAATGTGATGCACTGTATGAAACTCTATAAACAATAACAGCATTTTTAAATTACACAAGAATAATAAAATGTATAAATTTGAAAAAGTCATGCATGCAAAGATATCATGAATAATAGAACCAGCATTTAAATGGGATAATTAATTTTTTCATGAATGATCAGTCAGATCTCCCATGTCTTTTCTTTTTTGAACAATTATTTAACTTGTAAGTAGTGTCTTGAGGGGGACAAGCTTTAACAAGAGTTCTGCTTTATTTTTTCTTGAAACAGAATTTTATTTCTTTAAAGATTTATCTCAAGTGAGATTAAAGTATGAACAGGTTGTATTAATTAATCTTAAACTGTGTTGCTGGAATTAAATGTTTTAGAAACTGAAGGCTGACTATTATTTCTAGAATCATAATTCTTTTAAAATTTATTGTGTTTATTGTGTGTATGTATGTTTGTGTGTACATGCCACAGTGCACATGTGGAGGTCAGAGGACAGCTCTGGCAAGTCTGTTTTCCACTGCCACCACTGGGATCATCAGCCATCAAACTAGAGTCATCAAACTAGAGTCATCAGGTCTGAGTGAAAGCACCTTTACCTGTTGAGCCATTTTACTGGCCCAAGAACATGTCTCTTTTCTGTGGCCCTGCAGTCAAAGTTCACATCTTGCTGTACTGATTCCTAGTTATCAAAATACTTATTTGACAGTTTAAGCTTTGAGAAGACCATAGTCTAGAAAGTAAAAAGGGAAATTGGAGTGCCAAAGGCAGACAAAAAAATTGAAAGAGACTAAATCTTAATGCATAAATGGGGCATGGTATGACTGGATAATTTCCCATCTTGGTGGAAGGAGTGTATCTGCACTGTCACCAGGCTGAGGAACCACAGAGTACAAACAGAGGAAGTCAGGTTGGTGTGAAGTGGCAAGGGGAACATTAACTGCAGACTAGACCTTTCTGTAACCTGTTGAGGGACAGGACCTGGGAGTGGAAGTGTGATGAGAACTCTGCTGTTGGTTCTTGAAAGAGTTCAGGCTAAACTTCATGATCACAGATTCACAAGTGTTTACACCTTTGATATTTTCCCACAAGCAAGGTCCTGACCCACTATGAGATCAACATCATGTATTTACTAGCTTTAAACAAAAAACAGACCCCCCCCAGAGTTCAGTAGAATAAAAAACATGAGAATTCGTGGCATGGTTAAACTTGTTTCAGTTCTACACATTTGTCCTTATTTGAAGTGTTAAATTCAGTTACATATTATGGTCAAAAAGACGAACCCACACATCTATTGACCCTGCTTGAAATTTCTTCAAATTAACCGTGAATTTGAAGAAACAGGTGGAAAAACACAGCCCTCTGAGGATAGTGTAACATCCTGGTGTGTAAGTCAGGTCTTGCACACTTCAATCAAGAAATCAGATGTTTTTCTATATAAGAAAATGCTAAGGTAAAACATTGCCAGCAAATAAAGATTGGAGTGACAGCGGAATATTAGGCTTAGGTAAAGGGAATGTGGCAGAAATTTCAGATTTTCCCAAGAGGAAGAGACAAAAGAAAAGTTATTAATTATACTAGGGAACATGGTAATATGTACAAATTAAAGGAAGTTGAATGAATAAAAGATTCATCTTCCATGTGTAATATTAAGACCCCAGACAGCTGGCTACAATCATTGCCAATTCTTCATCAAAGCTGTTGAACACTTTGTACTATACATATGGCA